ATACTTGATCTTTTTTAAGTGGATGTGGTTCTGGCTAACACCCTGTGCTGTCCAGTTTTGTGCATTTCTAGCGGTGATCTTGCTTTAGACATCCAAGGAAGGGGCTAGGACTCATCCCTGCTATCTGATATGGGCCAGGATGGGAGAGCTGGCTGGAGTGCTAGACTGGGAGGGTGTTCTAAAGCATACAAGGCTCTGGGAAGATGAGATGTGTGCTATACTTGCTGACCTATGCCTGTAAAATAATTAATGTAACAAGATTCAATGTGATTCTTAATGAAAAGGGAAGTTCAGTTTAAAGAGAGCTTACTTTCCTCAATCACTGTCACAAGTTTTATGTTTTCACACCCTCATGCATGTGGATTCCAAGACAAGTGTCAAAACCCATGAGGGCCGCTTGCATAACACTAAGGATGTAATGCTGGCTTTCAAATCCTTGTTCCATATTTTGGGATCCTTTTGATGACGCTAGATCTAGTTTTTGAGCTAGTTTGAACCAATTTTTAGCATGTAATTTACTGAAGAAGTCCAAGTTATTGCAGTGAATTTGTCTCCCTACGAATCTTGCTTCTTCCTCCATAGGTCTTAGACAAGGTGGCAACATCTTTTCCTGTTAACATCTAACTCGCTTCTGCTTTTACAAAGCCTGTTCCCCTCTCACCAAGCTGTGATGATGCCTTTTCCTCAATGAAGTAACAGCTGTGTGGCTCCCTAGCTTCTAGGTGAATTGGCTGGTCCTGCAGACTTATCTGGTTACTAAATAAAAATCCCTTTAAAGAAGATTTGCTAGTGCATGCCACTTTTGATATATAGCCTTCCATTTGTTCACTCACAGACATGGAACTTAGATTAAAAGTAGTAGAAAGTCAGTGTAAGGGGGTTTACTGAGTGATTGCATGTCTAGCTTTTGAAATATAGCAGTGTTTCCTCATTTTGGCCAGACGTCACATGTCCTGTCTGCTTACCTCTGATGGAGGCTGTGACTCTTATTCCCCTGTCCCAGCAGGCATGTCCCTGTTAATTATTCTGAAAGCTGAGCAGTCCCTAGCTTCATCAGAACTCTGATTGTGAAAGAATTAGAATATTTAAGGCTGATTCAGGAATCCCCTCCATCTTTGCAAAAAAAAAAATCTTTGAAAGAGCTTGGTCACAGCATAACATGTAAGTGGAAGAAGATAAGAGAGGTCTGGCAGCTTGTTTAGCTAACTGAACCTACCAACTAAAATGTTTTGTTGCTTTTTAAGCAGAGAGCAGCATGTTCATGTTGTGGAGAAAAGGCCAGAGAAACAGTGATAATCTGCTGAAGGAAAGCCCTTTTCATTGCCTGCTAGCAGTGGATTGTCCCTCATCTTTTCTTTTGGTGTTTGACCTTTGTGTCAAGAACCATTAAGCTGTACAGAAACAATCAGCGATTAAGAGGAAGTTTACACAGAGACAGCCTCCATGGAAAGGGAGCATCAAGGACAGGAATTAGCTTTGTTGAATGTTAACATCATGGATGTCTGCTGAAGAAGCCACAGGTGAAGGCCATTTCCATTTTTAATTTGCTTAAGCTATAAACCAGATTTTAACTTGTAGTCATGACAAAGGAATTTTGTGTGTGTGGTTACATGGCTATTGCCAATGAAACTTTAAATATTGAGAGACCTGGAACTCACAACTTTGAAATACTTGAATAAATAAAAGGTAGGGAAGAGAATAGGTGGAATTTCACTGACCTAGACTGATTTGAAGTTTTCCATGAAAATGACTGTGGGAATGGGTATGTGTGTCAGGAGAACCATTAGTGTTAGTTAAAGTGAGCAAACTATGTACTGATTAGTAAGTATATATTAATGTTGTAGAATTATTATGTACAGACAGGTATTTTCTACACACTGTGTCCCCTTGACATATCAGTGCAGTGCTGCCAGCTTTTTGTCCAGCCAAAAAAAAGGAACTGGTGTGCTAGTTGAGTTCCACATTTCAATTCTCTGGGTGAAGCAGGCTCTGAAAAACACAAATACTTCACAATCTTGAGAAACAAACCCTCTCCACTGATTAAACTGTTATTGCAATTGACAGTGGTACCGTAAATATTCTCTCCAGATGTTTACCTAAAGCCAAGTTTAGACTCTGCTCCAGGAGCTGCATGTCAAGGTATCAGTGTCTGCTTGGTAAAGGAGGTGTAAATTGGTTCCTGCAATGCACAGCAGGGAGTATCTGATCGAATAACATCTGGGAATTAGTGAGAAAGGGAATCTTTTCTCCAGAAAGAAGGAAAGAAAGGAAACCAGGAATGCCAAGAAATAAATGTCTGTGTCTGAACTCTGCTGTAATCTGTGGCTGTGCCGAAACCACACAGCAAACTGGTGATGAAGGGAACAAAGAGCAGCTGAGGCAACCCCGGGCAGGAAGCTGAGTGTGGAAGCGCCTGGAAGAGTGCATCACCCTGATGAGTTTACACAGGCTCGGCTCAGACATGTTCTGTGAGGTGCTGCCATGCTTCTGGCTTTGTGCATTCAGTCAGAGGAAACCAGCCTAAGTCTGAAGAAAACATTATTATTCTGGTTTCAAAATAGGTGTTTTTCTACTTAAAAACCCCCAGCCTGCACAGTGCTCAGCAGTCCCCTTTGCATGTGCAGCACAAAGAGTAATGAATGCCTATATCTGACACTTCCACATGAGACTGGGCTTTATCCCTTCCATCAGTTCCACAACTTTTTTCAGTATCTGTGTTCTTCCAGGAAAAACAATGAAAATCTTTAAACATTTCCTTTCTCTTTCTGAGCACTGACCCTGAAGCCAGTGGCACATCAGTGTGTATCTGAGAAAACCACTGTGATCAGCTTTTCCTTCCCTCCTGGGTAACAATGAGTGATGGCATGTGTGTGACTCTTGATAGAATAACTGAATTTACTGTCTGGATAATGATCTGCTATTAATAAGTTGACTACAACAATTTAATAAAAGAGATGCTAATAAATATTGGTTGATCTGTTTCCACACAGACTGGGTCCTGTATCGGGGAAAAAGCAATTTACAACACTTAATCTCAAGGGGGTAACTTAATACAATACCAGTATTTGCTCTTACCAGCCATTCCCTGTGGTTCCTTAGCAAAATCTTCCTTTTGTGGCCTCACTGCTTGTGTTTGCTTTTATTCTTGTACTCACAGTTGTAGGAGAGTTTCACAGTCCTGTGCCACTTCAGAACTCCATCCTTACTTCCCATGATAAGCGGATTCACCTTGCCATCACCAGAGCAGGAATTGGATGTTCTGTCGAAGCTGCTCTGTATCCAACTCCTTGGTTGTCTTTTAGAAACTCTTTACAACTCCAGGTGACTTAACTGTAGGAATGCCTCTCTGTCTATTGCCATTTTCTGTGGTTAAAGTATTAAACTTGAATGACAAAGCAAATGTTTATAGGACTTAAATTTCATCTGTTCCTTCAATGTGTTATAAAAATATTTCTGGAATTCCTGGATAACACTGGGTATGAAACTTTAACACTTTATTGATGGTACTTAATATATACACTACTGTCTTTTCAAACAAATCTATGTGACAGCAAGTCAAACTGTTCTTCATTTGTTGCTCAAGGAAGTTCACCCAGCATAAACATGGATTTATTGTAGTGTTGTGCGCAGTGGGTGTAGAAGCATGTTGTCAAACAGTGGGATCCACTCCAGAAAACATAACAGTCACAGGTGGTCCCTGGGGCAGAGAGCTCGCAGCTGGGGGCAGGATTTGTGTAGGAGGGGCTCAAGCAAGGAAGAAGCAGGGTGCATGTTGTGACGGCAGCCAGTGTTTTACGCTTTTGAGGCTGAGTTAAGAGATCAGAAATTACATGGCTGAAAGCTTTTGAAAAACAGAGACTGAGGGATGGGCATGATGAAAGGGGGTGGGGTGCATAGCACAGGGCAGACTCAGATATTGGGGTGTTCAAAAAACATTTTCTTATTTTGTCCTCTGCCTCTGTTTCTGTGTCACTGTCACTTCTGCTTTGCAGCCTTTCCCTGGGCCAGCCTAAGGCAGTGTGTGAGAAGAGACGTGGGGTGGATCCCTCCTTTTCATTTGAGTCAGCTGTCTCCTGGTGTTTCTGAACCCTAGAAAACCATCAGGAAAACAGTCGCTTTGGTCATCTCCACTCTTAGGCAAAGTGCTAAACAAAACCTCCAACAAAAACCCCAATACATACCTATAAGGAATATCTTCTATCTGTACAGTGCCTGCTTTGAACTGCTAAAGCAACTGTTTGATACTGCTAGTTTTTACAGACTAATTGTGTGAATTTACACAGAATTACAGCCAGCAGTACTGGCACTCTCTAAGCTGGCAGGTCTGCTTCTTCAGTTGCCTAGTCCAAGATTTTGTCCAAAATGTTTGCCAGGTGGTGGTGCAGGACACGGGATTCCACTCGGGATGCCTTTTGTGGGGGAAGTCCAGGCACAGAGTGAATCTTGCACAGCAGGCTGAGGACGGGCAGGCACAGGGTTTAGTGATGATTTTGAAAAAGTTCCTGCCATTCCAACTTTATAGCCTCCCCGCCTTGTCCCGCAGCTCTGGAGGAGGATGGGCAGCCTGGATCTCCTTCCAGACGCAGTGCAAGCCGCACGCCTGCAGCTCGGTGGCGGTCCGTGGCGCTCTCCTCGCAGGACGCTTCTGGTCGTGCAGGAAACCCGCGGACTGTCCCCGCCCGGGCCACCGTGGGGACACCGGGGGAACACGGTAGGGACACCGGGAGCGGCGGGGGCGGGGCCTCGCGCGGGGGCGGGGCCTGCCCCGAGCGCACCAATCAGAAAGCGGCAGCGCGGGCGGGGGACCGGCACGAGACCAAGGCGCCAAACAACCCTTCCTCCCTCGGACGCGGAACGGCGCTCCCGCCTTGCGCTCCCCAGCAGCCAATCACAGCCACGATCCGGCTGCTCACTGCAGAAAGAACCCAATGGGAGACGCAGCTGCTGCGGCCGCTCAGCCAATCAGCGCCTGAGCCCATTGAAAAAGGAAGAGCGAGCCCGTTAGCTCCCACCCGTGACCTGCGGCCGCGCTGGGCGTTCCGGCCGTGTGGGGCGTTCGAGCCGCGGTCCTGGCGATGCTGCCGGCGGCGGCCGCTGCCCTGCGCCGCTCGGGCCCCGCTGCGCCGCCCGTGCCATGACCCGACCGCTCGGCGAGGGGCTGCCGTCTCCGGGCCCTCCCTTCGCCATGTCCCGCCGCCATGTTACGCCGGCGGCCGCGGGCAGAGAGGCGGCCCAGGACTGCAGGTACGGGCGGGGCGCGGCAGAGGAGCGGTCGCGGTCGTCGCCGGGCACCGAGCCCGCCCAGAGGGACGGCCCGGCTGCCGGCGTGCGCCGCGCTGCCCAGGGCGGGTGGCAGGGCTCGGCTCGGCGGGGGTTACCGGGACCCCCCGGAGCATCCCCGGGAGCCCGCCCCGGTGTTCCAGCCGCCGAGGGGCCCGGCCGGGGCCTCCCCATCGGAGCCGGCACGTGTGCCGCTGTTCGTTGGCCAAGGGGTCTGGCCAGGAGTGTCCGGCTAAGTTCTGGCTGGCGTTTCCAGCTCATCCCTCAGAGCCCCGCGGCCGGGCGCTGCCCTGGCGTTACCCGGCCCACCTGCAGGGCTGGGCGGCTTCGGCGGTTCGGCTCTAACCGAGAGCCTCGGGGGTCGGTTCCGCTTCCCAGCCTGCTCCGGCCCGAGCTGCGCCTAACGGTGCCGGGGACGCTGCCCGGGGAGAGCCCGGGCTGCCAGCGGCAGAGTTTATACACCGGGCAAGCTTGCCTGCTAACTAGAGATTCAAATTCTGCCGAAGATTTGAGGCTTTTCAGATGCTGCTGTGTTGTTTCTTGCAGAATGAGACAAGTCATAATTTTCTTATGCTGTTAGTAGCACCTTACTTTGTTCAGATCCTCTGTTTTGGTGGCATTGTCGTTTAAATGAAGGGGACAGGGTAAAAATCACTTTTGCAATCTTTTTTGCCCGTGAAAGTGAAACGAAACTGCAATTTCGGTTTTGTTGCAGTTGTCTAAAAGACTGAGTTTTATTATGTAAGTTTCTGTTTTGACTGTTTTTGTCGTGATTTTTTTTTTTTTTTGTTCTTTTTACAGAGCTTTTCAAGATACTCTGTGTTATCAAAGATGTAGCTTTTTGTAGCATATTCCTATGTTATGGGAATTTGCTATCTCGGAGCTATTGCTAGTGTTTCCATACAGCTTTTTTAAAGGATAGTTTTTATCCAGCCAGAGATAACCACGAATGTCATTGTAAACAGTAACAGCTTTTACCAAATGCTTAGGGGATTGTTTTTTAAGACAAGTGAAAGTATTTCCTCCTTCCCTCTTCCATGCCGGCTGTGTCCTTAGTTTTGAAAGGCCTGTTAGGTTCACCACCTGGCTGTGCAGCTTTTTTCTTTTGTCGGGTCAGCTAATGTATTTATGGGTTTTGCATTTTCTTTTGGGTTTTTAGTGTCTCAGTGGAGCTGAGATTTCACAAAATATGGTGCGATAATTTTTATTTGGGGTAAAAGGTCTTGCAGAATTTATATATATTGCTGAAAAGTGTTGACCAGAGCTGTATAGTGGTTCAGAAAGATACATTAAACAACTGTGATTTTCGTGTTAACAAAAGAGTGGAACACAGTAACCTTCTACTAAAGGGCGGAGATTCTCCTGTGAACTGTTTGTGAACAGTTTTTCACATAGAAAATCATATTTCTCTCTGTACTTTCACATGTATGTGAAAGGCAAGTTGGACAGCCCAGTTCTTTTTCACTTTCTTCCTTGTACTGTATTGAGTTTTTTCTGTTTTTCTTTTCCCCACCCTTTGCTTTTGTCTGAAGTTTCTAGTACACTTCCTTGTCTGAGACACGATACAGAACTTTGGCTGGACAGTTCCTAGCCCTTGCACTCTAAAAAGCAGAGTTACAAACACAAAACAGAAAATATTGCTGGATTAGCACTTCCAAACGAGCCACCTAAGAATAATCACTCACCATCTCTTCATTCACATTAAACTTGAAGAAGGGAAGTGCCTTCATTCCCTGTTGTTTTGTCTAATTATGGAATAACCCGAAATTTTGTTACAAAGCTCTTGGATTTATAATAAAAGACAGCAAAAAGAACAATATGGGAAGGATGTAAGCAGTCATTTGGAATCAGTGGCTGTGGAAACAAGGACAGAGATGGCAGAAGGCCTTGGGTTTTGGTTTTGTTACAAGCTGCCCCTGAAGGCCAGAGTAACTGAGGTTAATTGCTCCCTTTGGGTAGATTAGAGAGAAAGAACACTGAATACCTGGTGTTTATGTATATGCACCCATAGGGTTTATTTTAGGATCATTTGGTTGCAATTGAAATGAGGTATGTAGGCATTTTGGTTATTATCCCTAGTAATATGACAATATAAAAGTATAAAAATACACTTAAGGAAATATATAAGGAAAAGAAAGAAAAAGCAAGGATAGGAGTAGATTGCAGAGATCACCATCATGGATCCAGTGATGAGACTTGATTGTTGCAATTCCAGTGTCTGCTGGTCAAAGTGGTACTTGCAGTCTTGGCCAGGGATGTGGGAAGCCCCCAAAATGTGGAGCTCAGTGGGTTAATGGGTGTTCAGGTGGGAATGCCCAGGTACCTCCCTCGGAGAGGGTGAGTTTAACACTGTCTGTTGCAAGGCCCCAGGAATGAGTCTGGGGACACTTCGGAGATCTTTGGTGGTTTATGACCCCATCCTAGTCTGGTGCTTCTCACACCATGTTTTCTCACAATATGCTTTATCAGAAGGGGTAAATACCTTCAGCCCAAGTGTGAATATGCCAATACCTCCCCCTGGATGGGGGGGTGTTGTTTTACACCTGAGCCAGTTGTGTAAGGGAGGACATTGGTGTGATAAAAAGCATTTTCCCACCTCTGCAGCATCTGTGCCTTGTCATCCTTGTCCCTTACCTGGCTCAAGCCCCAGCTGGTTTTGTCGTGGTCATCCTCTGGTGGTGGGTGTACACCCCCTCCCGTCTTAGGCACCCCATCAGAGGTTTCAACACCACACAAAAACCCTCTCCTTCTCCCCTTCCACTGTGAGGTGCAAACCTGGGCCTCAGCAATATTGCAAAAGATTGCAAACCTGGGCCTCAGCATTTGAGTAAAATGACCTTTAACGTTTCTGTCCCTCACAGTTTGTCTTCAAGATGTGGGTGCACAGAGGAATCTGGGTGGTAACTGAAGATGAGACGTGGCCTGCCAGCCACGCTTCATGTGCACATGGGGCTTTAGAGGGGAAGAAAGAAGTACAGTCACTTAGCTAGGAAAATAGGAATGGTTTGGAAGGATAGGCGGTGTGGAAAGCTCTGGGCACCGGATGATTTCGCAGCCTGAGAGCAGTCCAAGCAAGCACTGGGTGTGTCCTGAGGAATGCGAGGTGGAGAGGGCTTTGCAGAGAGCAGGTGAGGCCCGTGTGGAGTGCAAGGAGGTCTGGGGCAGACAAACAAATCGGTCAGCAGCAACAACAGTGAATAAACCTGCATTTAGTCTTTGGTTCTTCTGCTGAACTGAAGTACAGGGGATCCTGTGTGCTGAAATTTTTCTCTTATTTGAAAGTAGCCGAGTGATAGAAGCAGCAAGAGTTGTTAGGCCGCAAGTTGAGCTTCACTTGAACTACAAGGCTCTGTTGAGTAAGTCAGAGATGGATTATAGCAAAACCTGGGGCTAACAACCTGAGCATTAACAGTTGTTAGACTAGGCAATGTTAATGGCTTAAATATTACTTTAAAATTAATAGCTGGAGTGGACAGCCCATAAGTAGTGGTACATGAACAGTAACAGCCATATTTACAACATGGAGCACAGAACCAACTGAAATTCCCCCTGAAACAGCTGAAGAGGGTGTGAATACGACCACAAAGCACCTCTGGGTAGCAAACAGTGAACCAAGGAACACTGACAAGACTCCAGACCCTAAAATCACTATTGGTCTGGACCGGTGGGTAGTTTAGATTGCCCAGGATTTCTGTTTGTGGTCCCTTTTTTGAGGCACCAGCTTAAGCTACCACCAGGTAACTGATCTGTGCCAGTAGACCTGTCTGATGGAGTTGAGAGCCTGGTGTCCAAAATGTAACACCTGCTGTAGCATGTGGGAGGAACACACATATTTTGTCCTATGTCAAAATGAGCTGGGACAAGCTGGAGGCAGCCAGTCTCTGACAAGTAGTTTCTCTGCTTTCTTTGGTAAGCCAAACCCAGTTTTGTGCACTCACAGATTCTTATTACAGGTTACCTTTTCACTGAGTTACAGGATCTTCAAATATCACTGCTTGCCAGTATCCTGATTTCAGAAGTATCAGTGCATTTTAAACAGCTTTTTGTATTTCTGTAGGTGCTAACAATGCAAAAGCTGTGTCAGAAGATGAAAAAGTGATGATTACAAGCTTAAAGATTCAAAATTAGATCCAAATTCATTTCATTTTGTACAAGTGAGCAGGGGGTTCTTCTGGCCTAAACTTCAGAAATGGTTACTGAATCTTTGGGGACACAGTCATGTATGGATACTTGAATATGTTAGCTTAGTTTCTGGAGTAAGTAGGTTTTGCCTTGGTTATCACTGTTACTCAGGCAATAACAATGTAACTTTGCCTTGGAAGGTACAGAAAGACAAAACTTGGAACCAACCTCTGCTGTTCTTGCAACAACGTGACCAAGTGTTCTCACATCAATTCTTTGTTTGAACTTCTGACCCTTCCAAGGCAGGCACTCAGTATAGCCTTAAAGTCATTAGCAGGCTGTGTGCAGGAAATGAAGATACCAAGTTCGCAGATTCTGATGTATTTTGTTGTTCAAAGTGCACCTTGTTCAGCCAATCTGCCCATTTTTAGAAGTGATATTCTTCAGTGGAGAACACCCTGGTGTTCTCATGCCCCACTTGTTCTTGCCAGAGAAAAAACCCTGATGCAAAGCCAGTGATTACCTTGTGGGTGGCTGTGTTGGAAGCTGGGTGAGATGCTAACTTGGGTTAGCAGCTCAGAGTGCTGGTGGACATGGGGAGGTTGTTAAATGGCACAATGTCATCACAAAATGTGCTGGTGAGGTCAGGCCCATTCAGGACAGTTTAGTTTAAGGTGGAAGGGTGGCTGAGATTTGCCAGGATTATAAAGAAAACAGTTTGAGTAAGGAAACTGACAGGTTTAACTTCATTAGTCCAGCAGAGTGAAGGCTAAAAGGTGAAGATGATGATGATGCTTTTTCTGATTTATCAGAAATAAGAACTGGCATGAAAGAAAATCTGTAGAAATAATTTACAGTATTTTAATTATATAACATTCAATGAATGTCCATTTAATTATTGCTCTTTTATAAAGATAAGTTGTGTTTTCTCTTCAGAAACCAGTTGATTACGGAGTTCTTCAAGCCAGTTTTAAGTCAAGGTAAATATGTTTTTTTCTAAGTTGAAGACATTTATATGAATTTTAATTATGTAAGCATGCAGAATGATAATTCAGTCTCATTCCACAGTGGAGCAGCAACATAATGAGTATAGCTTACCAAATATATCAAAATGAGCACATTAAAATTTTTTCTAATAATGCAACTGAAAATATCAATTTCCTGTTTAAACTAATTTTTTTAAATAGTGATGCAGTTATTATTTCAAGTTCTGTCTCATGCTTAAGCCAAATTGTTTATAACAACTGAAGCTGCATCTTAGGTCATGTGATTCTTTGCATGGCAGTAGCAAAACTGGATGATTAAGTGAATTAATTTTGGATTACATGGGAGAGAGAGAGAAAATAGCAAGTAATACACTATAATAAGGTTTGTTGTTTTGTTTTTAGGGTTTTTTTTCCAATATAGTTTTTGTGAATAATTGGTCTTTTATCTCCTACACCATGTCCATAAAGACAGAACTGTGCTGTCCTCACCAGACAAAGGAAATGTAAAAGATGAAGGAATGGGACTGTCAGTCTTATGCGCTGAAGGTTTTGAAAGGAATTCACCTTCTCCAAGGAAGGTCAGAAGAAAAAGATGCCAGACCAAACACCAAATGAGTCCTGTGGTAGGTGTCTTTTGGAAAAGAATTGAGGAAAAGGACAGTGCGAACATGTCAGAGAATGGCAGAGTGAGCAGGGCCCTGGGTTCATTGCAGCCAAAAGTTGTGATTCAGAAACTCCTCATTGCTGCAGGGTCTCAGGTGCATTCCTTGACCAAAAAGGAAAAGACTGCCTAGCCAGAACAAGGAAAGAAATGAAAAGTGTCTGGGTTTAAGGAGAGCTCCATTGTCTTATGGAAATAGTTGGGCAGAGAAGAATGACTGCATGGATCTCACAGATGCCAGCTCAGACTCTGACAAATGGGTTTCACCTGCAGAAGCTGATATTTGAAAAGCCTGGGCTGGAAAAATGGCACTGTGAACACCACATCTCTGTGCTCAAGCCAGATTTCCCCAGTGGCCTGCTCTCCTACTGATTCTGCATTTAGGTTGTCACTGGAAGCTCTCTGCAGAGAAAGGGAATGTGAGAAGCAGAAATTGAAACAATCTGATCCACATCCTGTAAAGCCATTCTAAGGAACAAATGTTTTCTATCAGTTATTCAAGGTGCAAATCAGTGACCCATTGTGCATGTGAATTTTTAAATTTTTAGATTTTTGAAATTTTACACAGTAAGATCAGATTCTCGGTGCTGCCTTTTTCAAATGTAACACGCGTTTATGTTCTCTTGCTATTCCTTTGTAAGTTTTAGGTCATGCTTGGGTAACCGGTTCTTAATAATTTTGCAATCAGTGAAAAATCCTGTTTTAAAAGCAGGGGAGATATTTTGGGCTAGATGCAAGCATGGAAATGCAATAGAAATTGTAACTTGAAATTGTATTTTCTAGCAAAAGATGCCTTTATCTTAAATGCCTTATCTTGTGTTTTCTTACAATGTAGCTTTGGGGACAGACTGGCAAATTTCTTCTATTTAGAAGCTGCAGTTAAGAGCAGTTCAGATTTATGCATTTGAGCCAGAGTATTTAGATAGAGATGGGCGTGGTCCTATTGCAAATGTAGTATTTAATTACAGGTCACTTTTAATCTGAAGGAAAAAGTATAGAATTTGGTTCTGGAGAGATCTTTGCAGCTGTGTTTAAAATTTGTCTTGAAATAAGGTCCATTAACATGTTTCTGGAGTTGTGTGGAACTAACTCTGTGCTAGGTTCAACACTGGTTTTTAAAAGTATACAATTAACTTTTTTTCCTCCCTCTGTCTTTGTTTTTAGGGAAATGGATGTCCTGTAAGAAAAATAATGCCTTTTGGCTCAAGGGAGATTGCCCCAGGTATGAACATTGCTGTTAATATAGAATTAATTAATCAAATTCGTCACTTCATGTCTATTTTTGATGGCTTTTTTTTCTTGAAATTGTTCTTTTACTAAAACAATAATTGCTACTGAATAGTCAATATTATTTCTAATATATGGCAAGTTTTAATAGCTTCAAAAGTAGTTTAGGATTTTAGTGTAAAATGTGTTGATTGTAACTTAATTAGAATTTGTGATATTCCTTTGTCTTAAAACTTTGATCCCAGATTTTTTTTTTAATGGTTTCTCTTGTGTTTTGGATAATCCACACTTTCTGTGGTGGTTAATAATTTGTGCCTTTTAGTTTAATCCAGAAAGAATATTCTTGTTGAACCAACCACTAAAGTTGAGCTGGTTTTTTGTTGTTGATCTTTTTTAACCACATAATTTTGTTCTGTGAGTGGTAGAATGGAATCTGAAAAGCTTGAGGTAGGTCAGTAGGAAGATAAACTTTAAAAAGAAAAATAAAGCGGGTCTTTGGCTGTGGAAGCTCAGACTGTTTGCTGCTCTAGTCCTAGTTGACTTAAAAACAGAAGTTAGTTTTTAAAATGGAAAACTGTTACATGTTTGTTTTTTAAGACAATTAGTGTTACTATTTTGATTTTTTTTAACCTGATAATGATGTTTTATCTTTTTCTCCAACACTTTACAGATGACCCAACTCAACTAAGGCTAACACAGGTTTTAGAACATGAGGCATCTTCTCCACATGCATTAAGAACATCATCTGAGATGGCCTCTGGTGCACCAAAGAGCCCAGCTGCTCCTTCACACTTCCTTAAGGTGTCCTTTGGGCTATCCAAACCGAGAGACTCTCCTGGGAAAAGAAAACAATCTGCCATGAGTGTGGATGCAGATAGTCCAGAGCAATCTGAAGTGAACGACCCTGATTTTAGTAGACCATCAAAATGCAAGAATTTGAAGTGTGGCTTTGTAAAAAATATCTTTTTGAAGTCTCCTCATGATGATGTTCTGCAACTCAAGGAGCCTGCTGCCCTGTCTAGACATGATTTGACTCTTTCAGAGGAATTCCTCAACTCAAGCAATGAAAAGGAGAAAAATAATTACTCCACTGTAGTTTTTTCACCTTCATATTCTGCACACAGTCCTGCTAAAAATAACCACATTTCTGTTGTGGATACCAAAGAGAATCAATTGCAGCTGGCTAACTCATGCTTTTCCTTGGAAAAGTCCCTTCCTTTTTCTCAGGAAAAAAGTACTGTATTGCTTTCTCCCCATTACTTAACACAAACAAAAGGTATGAAATCCCCTCTCCAGGTTGCTGGCTTATCTCAGGTATTGGATGTTAGGAAAGAGCAAGATAAAAGACCAGAAAGACATGAACGGAATAAAGGATGCAGTATTCAACCCAGCAACAGTTTTTCAAATGCAGTCCCTGAGATTTCTGAAAATACTTCTGATTCCTGTAGAATGGAAATCTCTGGCAGACTTGGACTGTCCCCAGAGACTGGCAAAGGTGTTCCCCCTTCATGGCCTTTGGAAGAGCCTTTTGTGGACAGCAGCCATGAGTCTTCGCAACCCTCAGGAGAGCTGGAAGTTAAAAGGAACTCTACACACAAGTCCAAGCTGAGCAGAAAATGGCAAAGCAGCTCTGAGAGTGAAGATGACATTTTGGAATCCATTCTAGATGATGATGATGAAGAGGAAGCATTAATGCCACTGCAAAGAATGCTTAGTTCAAACCACAGGCAGAGTCTCAAACCACAGGCAAAAACCCTGGAAGACTCCTTTGACAATGCTTCTCAGGACACTGTAACTCCATTACTGAAGCTTCATGTAAGTTGGCTAAAAGCCAGAAAAAGACATTCTTTCAAGTATTCTTTTAGAGATGTTATTTGCAAGAAAAATAATAGAGATTTTAGCAGAGTGCAAGGCCCAGTGGGTCGTAGGTTATTACCCCATATTTCAAAATTTAGGAGAATAAAATTTTATATAGTAGGTATATACCACCAAAACACAGATGGAGGCCCAGTTGATGGAGACATCTCATACTCAAAAAGAAAATTGCCTCCAACCTCACCTGTTCCATCTGGCACATACAGACAGCAGCTTGTTCAGGTGTGCCACAGAACTCATTTCTGCTATTTAGCTCAGTTTTATAAACAAATGACAAGCTGCTCCAGCAGCTGAGATGTCCAGTAGTCTTTAGTACCTATTCAGTCAGGATGTGTGTGACTGATTGGTAATAGTTACTTTACATTAATTTTAGTCAAAAATGTACCAACACTCAGCCACCTCTTGCTGATTCTCATTATTATGCCATTAAAGCTATTGCAGAGTATAATGAGATAACACAACATAAAGCTGATTATCTGCTTTTATATGATTTTCTCCCTTATTCATAATGCATGATAATTCAGAATTATTTGCCTGCAAAACTGGTTACTTGGCTTAAGGGTCCTGTGCTGCTGTACAATTACAGTGTAGTTGGAGCAGGGATGTGCTTGTTTCTGTGCTTGTCCTGGGAATGGCTGAAAGATGGTTTGTGCAGCCAGATTGATTTAGCTCTATCCCTCCTGGTTGTTTTTAGGAGTTCTGTTTTTGCTGTTTCACCCTCCCAAAGATAGGAGGCTACGTTTAGAAAATGTGTGCAGTCTAATGTTTTTGTTTTCCTAGTCAAGTAAGGTTTTGATGAGCTGAAGTTAACTGGAGGAATCTGATGTAGACATTTAGAGGTCTGTGTGCTAGACTCCAGTCATATAGCCTTGCCACAGTCTGTGGTTGGCAGAGATCTGAGAGAGTAAGTGTGGTCTTTTCTTTGAGGTTCTATTTCATGGAAATTGGAAGTATTTTAGGATTTCAAAAAGCTGAATGAATTCTGATCACAAGGCATAGACTATGTCTTTGAATCCCTGTATACAGGATTTTATGGTGATGAATTGGTGTTTTTAAAATTAGCTCATTTGTTCAATAAGAGCTTGTCAAATAGGTGGTGGTTTTGAAGTTTTATTGTAAAATGATGTTTTAACAGGGAAGGTCCTGCAGTGGGTCTTAGTGTGGCAGTCCTGACAGTTGGTACAGGCTGGAAATGGCTGTATTTAAACAAAGAGATTTCATACTGAGCCTGGCTGGGTTGGAATTAATTTTCTTTATAACAGCTGTATGGTGCTGTGTGTTTCAGACAAAACCAGTGTTGATAATAGACCAGTTTTCTACCTGTTGTGGAGCACTAGCACAGCATCAAGGCTTTGTCTTCTTCCTGTGCTGCCCCCATAGAGCAGACAAAAAGCTGGGAGGGAACAGAGCCTGGAAAGCAGACCCTGAATGACCAAAGGGATATATTCCATGCCACATAATGTCATGCTCAGCAATCAAAATCTGAGTGGGGGGATTTGGTCTGGCATGTAGCCATTGCTCAGAGTGTAGTTGGGCATCCCTCTGCTTGTCAGAGGTGCTGACTGACTGCTTGTATAGCTTTTTCTTTTCTTGCTTGTGCCTTTTCCCTTACTAAACTATTTTTATCTTAACCTATGAATTCTCTCTCTTTGCTTTTCTTGCTTTTCTTTTCACTGCCCTGCACCACTGGCTGGGGAAATAACCAAGCTGTGTGGTGCTTAGCTGCTGGCTGGGGTCAGCCCATCACCAGTTTCTAAAGTGGAAAACAAATAGCAGAATACCTGTATAAATTCTCTCTTCTGCCTTCCCCTCACCTCATGCCTTTCAATCTCTGATAGGGTTTATTTGTTGGCTGAGTTACCATCTCCGTGGGCAGATGTTGAGCAGCCATAATTATTATGTGTTCTTATGATTCTGTAATCAAGAGTGTTATAGATCAGACTTGTGTGGTTTCACATGTATTTCACAATCTCAGCCAACATGACACGTGATTAATGGTTAAACCCGATAAACACATGCAGCCAATGCTTGTGGGACATGTGTGTGACCACAACATTGGGCTGGCTTGTTCCTGGTATAATTAATGGCCAAGTAAGGCAAAACAGTTAAGAACAATCCCAGCATTTCCATGACCATGATTTTTGTGTACATCCACATTCTTCTCTTGTAAGAAAGGATGTATGTGTACATTGGAATAAAGCTTTGATTCCCTGTTTGTTCAACAGCTACTTGACAGATATTAACCAAATATAAAATCAGCTAAGTCTTGCAGATTTCCCACACAAAGACATGCTGCTCTTATATTTAAGAGATGACTGAATATCAAGATGGTGTCAGAAGAGCTGTGTTTGTCCAAAGAATGGAATCATGGCCATAAAAGTTTTCAAATCTGTTACCTGCTACAAGCTGAATAAAAGACTGGCTACTGAAAACCAAGCCACTAGCAAAATTTATTAAAACGTTTTGTGTGTTATGTTTATTACCTCCTTAATTTGGTTTTGTATTGGGATTTTGATTGGAAGTTTTGTTTTGTTTGATTAATTTAGAGGTCATTTAGCAAACACTGGAGTTTTGCCCTCTAGGGACTCTGAAAGCAAAAGAACTGAGTAATTTTTGGAAGTTCCTGTCTCATGCACAAGAATGGGGATTCCCAGAGTCTCAGTGGATGATAATAATAGTAAAGTTGTGAGGTAAAAGGTTTCTGATGGTAATGTTCTTGGTGAAGGATAGCTGAAGGTTAGCCCCAGACATGCAGAGACTTGCTTCACTGTTCAGATCCACTGTGAAGCAATTATTTCTAAATTAGTCATTGAGAAAGATTTGACCATTATGTGAAATTGTCAAGGGATTGAGAAACTTAAACTGATAATCATCCTGTTTCACAGGGTCTCCTTTAGGTTTATATCTGTGTGTAAAATACTAAAATTAGGAGAAATTTCTATTTTGATTATTGTCTAATGATGAATTGATGGCTTATGGTATTTTTTAAAATGTCTTGCTATTTCATTTACAGCTTTCGAAGACTCCTGTTATAAGCAAGGTGTCCTATGTGAACAGCTTAGATCATCTCTTGAAGGAGAAAGAAGAATCTAGAAGGTTTGTTTCTTAAAGCTGGTTTGAATAATGCGGGATGGTGTTGTAGAAGCTTGGATTTGCCTTGTCTCCCCAGAACTGATGGAGTTTGATCAGCAGCAAGCTAAGCTTTGCCTGCTGATGCCACCAACATACAACTGAACTGACAGGACCTACAAGTGTTGCTTAAATGGTAAAAGCTGAATGACAGGCTTCTTCATAGCAACAAGGAATGATTTGTGATCCATCTGTTTACCCCTGAAGAGCCAGGCTAAATTTACTGATGCCTTCGTTTTAGGTCACTGTGCCAGCTAGCAGCTGCTGGTCAGGCATGAAATAGAAATATTTATGTAGACTGACTGTACTAGTTTTTTCAAAGGCATTTGCAGCTCAGTATTGGCCAAATTTTGCAGGCAATGGGTGTCTGAGTAGTTACACAGGTCACTGAACAGAACTAATGAGTATTCTTACAAGAGATCTTTTGGGTAGGAAGTGAAATGTGGTTTATGTATTAATGGCAAGTGGTGGTGATGAGTATATGTGTTTAACTGCTTATGTGATTAACTGTTTGGATTAAAGAATTTGACCCTGGTAACCATGGGCTGACTGCCCATGGAGTAGCAGATACTCCTGTAACTAATAGTGTTTAACAAATAAAATACTTGTTTGGTGCTTAAAAAAAAAGCAAACACTCAGCCACAAGATCGAAAGTTTTGTGTAATTACAAAAACTTTATCAGAGGTTGGTTGAGTATTTGTGTCTGACAAGCCAGTGATTGATTGTGCTGTTGGAAATTCATTAGGTTCTGGGAAAAAATCACTTTGTGTCTTGGAATAGTAAGATGCTTGGGTTTTACACAGATGCAATGCCTCACATGGTTTTGCGGTGTATAAATGGCTCCTGACTCCAGGGTTCACATTCAGAGCTTGGGTTTTGTTGATTATGTTCTAAATATGAAATGGTGATGGTATGCTCTGCTGCTGCTGTTATTTCAGGTTAGAGGAAATAGCGAAACAGTTACAGGAAGACATAGAAAGAGAGGACAATGCTTCAGATGGAGAAAAAGAAGACAATGCCAGTGGAGATGATCTCTTGGAAGAACACAGGTCCTTGCAACTCCAAAACCAATGAAATCTTGATCTCTGCTTTTCTAGCTGTTTTTTTCCCTAACCTCTCTCTGTTTCCAACTATTGTCAATATGTTTAATGAGAACCATATTAAAATCTTTTGAGGTTGGGTGGATTTCCTTGGGTGCAACTGTATTCTAACAATTCAGCTTTCATGTAAGACTGATGTGTTCATGACCTACAAATAACCTTCTCAAGCAGCAAATAGCTTCTCAGTGTTTGAATTGTAAAAGCAATTTTGAATTTTACAGGGCGTTTATAAAGAGATTTTCAGTAGCAACTTATGTTATACCTGACAAACACCCTGGAGAAGATTTATTTGATTTATCAGCTGCTGGGAAAATCTTCACTCAACATAACCTTGACTTGAGGAATTTTCACTTGGTCCCTCACAATCGTATAGAATATCTGCTTGTGAAGTAAGAATATGCTCTTCACTTTGGTGTGTTTACTTGTACAATTTTCTTGTTATTTTTAGCAGTTTTAAGGTACTATCTAATCTTTGCATGAAAATGAGCTGTCTTACTAAATAGGCAAGACTGGTTCCCTTTCCTTGGAATTTTCCTTTCTGCGTTAGCTTTACAGAACAGTAAATTGTAATTTGAAGCTTCCTTCTTTCCTCCTCTGGAATTCTTGAAAAACCTCTTAAATGAGACATGAGGAAAAACAGCTGTTCTGGCCTCTTCTGTGTTTCTACCACACTGGGCTATCAGTGATAACCTTACCAGTTTGTGGGAGACAAAAGCAGAAGTGAAATGTTATAATGAACACAAGCTTAACCATGTGCAGACTGAAAGACCTTTGTGGTTACCTGTTTGTGACCTTCTAGTGTTACATTATGTCTGCTGAAAGACTTCTGGTGCTTCCGTCCTGGCTGGGCCTGGCCCTTGGGGCTCCATCTAACGAGGATTGCAGAGGCCAGGGTCTGACATCTGTTAGATTCTGTCACTGAGCCACTGTCTGTGTGTACTTAAACAACTGCTCCGTAACCCACAGGCATCTCTGCTCTATGTTTGTGAGGCTGTCACACTACAGATAGCTGGACAAATACTTGCCTAATGCCACAAGTGTAAATCCTGAAAATTTCTGGTTATTTTGTTTGGTATTTTATTCCAAACATGCATCAGAGGAACTGAGAGAATTCAGTTACTCTTAAAGGATTTTATGTACATGTGTATGTATGGCTGCGGGTGTGAAGAGGAGGAGAGTGACTTTTCATCTCTTGAGGAAGTGGTGTTTGTGATACACTCCTTTGGCTTCAGGCCTTTCTATTAATGTTTTGAAGATCACAAGGGTATGAGCTTCAAAAGCATCTTGTAAATCAGTGACTAGAGGAATGAGGATTAAACTGATCATCCCTTGCAGAAGGCAATTATGATTTAATTGCTTATGCATTCAGCCCAGTTGGCACATGGAGGTCTTACCAGTCAGGCAGGCAGAGGGTATATGCAGGAGTTAGGACACAGATCTCTCGACAGAGTTACCTGATTTAGTAGATAGAGAGAACAGAGGAGACTAAAGAAGGGTGTGTGGGAAACTGGATATCTTTAATTCAGCTGCTTATGACATCCCTAACTTTCTAAAGAAGAATCCTAGAAGAATCCTAGAATATCCTGAATTGGAAGGGACCCACAGGGATCATCAAGTCCAACTCTTCAGGGAATAGTCCATGTGGGATTTGAGCCCATGAAATTGGTGCTACCAGCACCCTGCTCTGACCAAGTGAACTCATCTGGGTGACTAAAGCTCCAATAATTCAGTAATAGCAATGGCACACTTTGTTATCCCAACAGCTACTGTTTGCACCGCACAGATTTGCACAGTGAGATTAGGCTGTGGGATTTTAATTACATTAGTTTGCCCTCCAGACCCTTTATTTAAAAGGAAATTTTAAAAATTTTGAAAACAGTATTTTTTCCACTCTTATTCTGAAAATGTTGGTGAAGGTCATTGGACAGTTAAAAATCTTATTTAATAGTCTTATTGAGCATAGCAGGCTGTCTGTGTAGTCAGGTATAGTGGTTCATAGACCAATGGTGTAAATCAATGTTTGTTTGAAACTATTATTTCCTAATAATACAGATGTTTCCAGACTGTACAGTATGGCTTTATACAGAGAAAGATATTTGTTCTAAAGGACATTTGTAAAGTTGATTGCTATTAAAAATCAAGGCTTGATTACTATGACATTTTATATAAGTAATAACATAAGAATAACATCTGTTTTGCATATTCAGATCTTTCTTTGCTGTTGATAATGATCTGAGGGGTGAGGAAGTTCATATGTTTTTGTGAAAGTGATGATGCAACCACTAATCAATTTCTATCCTCTTTCCTTGCCCCCATTTTTCTCTTACAGTTCTAGTGTAACACAGCAACTTTTTTTAGTTGTTAATGGCATTCTAAGTTCTGCTTACCGTGATACATTGTGTCCCATACCAATTCTGAAGTGGCTGTTCCAGGTAAGTTTGTGCTATTCATGCAGTTATCATGACTCTGTGCATGTCTGATATTTTTCCTGGAGCCAGTTGAAGCAGCTTGTGAATCTCTTCCATTAACAACTTTTAAATCAGACATTATATTTTCCCCCGGGTTGTAATTTGTTCTCCCATCTGAAATGCTTTGATTGTCACTAGGGGTAAAACAACTGAGAGCCTTTTCTCCACACTGAGTGAATGCAAAGCTGCATGTCCATGTTCATATATGCTAGTGCATTGAAAAATGACACAATAAGTGAGGAGAGGTGCTGTGGGCTAAATCATGAGCAAATGCTAATCTTGTTTCCTTTCACTCTTAGAAAAACAGCACATGCTGCAGTATATAAAAGTGCAAAAGTACAATTTTCTACATATATCATCTTCTAAGTCATCAGTGATACCAGCATTATCAGATAATTTTCATTTGGAAAAGGCTTATGGCTCAGGAAGAAGCCTGGAGTCATTCACAAAGGAAGTGTGGTGACTCTCTCCTTTCAAGATATCTGTCACAGTGTCTGAATCACCAGGAATTTGCACAGTGCTGTTACTCACAGAAATGCCTCCCTCCAGTCTCCATTCTGTTTTTAATTGCCACATTCTAACTTCACCTGAAACAAAAAGAAATCTGGACCACCTGGGTAATTGCAGCTTCAGTCTGTTGACTGGCTTTCTACTTTTGCCAAAAGCAAAACATTTTGCTTTTCCGTGTCCTTCCCTCCAGCCAGTTAAAAAATTGCTTTTCCCCTTTCTGTGAGCTCTGGTGGTCCACTAATAAGGAAGAAGTGTGAGCCAATTGAGATCACTTACAGAGCAGGAAACTGTCCAGCACTTGGGGGAGAAAGAGTTTTTGTTGGGCCAGTGAAGTGCTCCAAGAAACCTGAACTGTACTTCATAGTCATGTTTTTGTAGTTAAGAGTTATGTGAAAAACTAAGAATTCATTGTTTTGGTTTAGTATTGCATATGTCCAACTTGTCTGTGACTGGAAAAGGGTGTAGTTAACTCTGTTGCCTTCACTCCTGTTCAGGGAGCTCAGTTTGATCACAGATACAAATGGGTTCCAAAGGGGTATGTGATACTTTCTATTCTCCTAACCCTCAGAACTTGTTTGTAAACCAACATGGAGTTACAGCATTCTGATACTGTAAATAATTAATTTTACAGTATTCATATCATCTTTGCACTGCTTGAAATAATAAATGTTCACAGTATTCTGTTCTGATTGGTGTATCTTGCTTAAGAGGCTTGTTTGTTTGTTTTTAAATTTGTTACTGATTTTGCTCTGCTGGGAAGTTTGGAGTTGTTTTTGTGGGGTTTTTCTCTAATTAAAAGAAAACTGATGCCATGATGCAGCTTGGTTTTTGATGCATAGCTCCTTCCCTCTTCACAGATGATGTCTATTCATTCTGACCATTGTGTTTCCACCAAGATCTTAGACAGATTGATGGAGTTATCACTAAAAAACTGTAAGTATTTGAAGGATGGAAAACTGACCACCTGAGTGGTCACTCTCTTCTCTTCAGTTTAGAAAAGTGTTAGTGAGGAAGTAAAAGGCACTAGTTCTGTTGGGTGATTTTGGCTGGAATTTGGGCTCTATTTTTACTAATGTAATGCAGAACTGCTGGGGGCTGACCTTCATTGAGTGTGTGCATCCTGTATCACAGTATGGCACATACCTCCAAAGTAGTGCATCCAGTACAGAGCCTTTTAAACTCACTCCTGGTATTTCACAAACAGAATTGACCTGAAGAGAAGCTCAGTCTGCACAAAAGTTTGCCCTCCTTTCTATTTTTTACTTTGGATGATGTGGACATTTGTAGCTTAAGAATTACAAGATGTTTTTCACATTGTCATTCCCAGTATGTAGCACTTCATGATTTATTTTCCAGACAGATGACAAAAATGAGGTGAATCATACACCTGCACAGAAACACTTTGAAGGATCTGCTTCAGCCCACAGTGCTGCTAATATCTTCTATGTTTTGTCTTCTTCCTTTGTCTGTACTCAAATATTTCTCCACTACAAGTTTCTTTCTATGTTCTCCATGTTTTCATTCAGATCCATCAAAAGTGACATTCATTTAAGACTACCAGTTGACATTGTTAAAGTAATGTGGTTCTCTTGAAGTGTTTGCTCAGGCCTGTCCAAACTGTACCCTGTATTTTAATTCTTGTTTGAAATCAGAGCTGATATCAGAGGGAATGTAGCCTCCTTTATTTTATGCCTTGCTGGCATTAGGCTTGATTCTGAATGAACAGTTCAAGATAATGAATAAGCATTCAAACAATTAAGGCTGGGAGTTCCTTGTTTACCACTTCTGTTCCAGAAAACTTGCTTGTTTTCAAATCTTACTTAGCTTCTCTTCTAGTCCCACTGTGATAACACCCTCTTACCTTTGCCTACACAGGCAGTAATTTAGTGTTCTCTTAGACAAAAATATTGCCTTGTTGCTTGTTCTGCTGTTTGTGATGAAAGAGAACTATGACAGAAAATGGGTGGAACTTGAAAGTAATTGAACTGTTATGTAGGCAAGTTGTTTCCCTAGTGTAAAATACTGTATTAGACTTTTTTTCCTCCCTCCTTGTTCTGAAAATAAGCTTACTGTTTAATGTACTGACTCCTCTGAGATGAGAGCTGGTAGAATTGATGCCAACTGCTAAGCTTATTTGTTTCCCTTAAAAGGAACTAATGCTAAGAACTAAATTTATGCTAAACCATTGCATGTCTCTTATTTGTAGCTTCCATCAGTGATGAGCAGCTTAAACCATGGATTCCTTCAATAGCTGATATATCAACTGTTTTTGTCAATATGGGTGTTGGGTTCAGATCTCTCTTTCCATTGCAACATCTTCAACCCCCCTTCACCGAGCATGATATTTTGTAAGTGTTTTCCTTTTGATTTTTTTTTTGCCTAGATCCTGTGAAAGCAAGTTTTTTTTGCTTAGAATGTAGAATCAGAAGTTTCTTTATTTCCTTTCCCATACTCGATAAGTTCTTGCTCAGGTCTTAGTAAGAATAAATAACCCTGGAATTCAAACAATGCCTTCTAGATAAGGATTCAGCAAACCAGAGCCTTGTCCTTTGTCCTGCATCTTCCTAATGAAGGTATGCAGGAATACTGGCTAAATAGGTGGGCAAAGTAATTGGCTAAGTTGAGTTAGATGCGTGTGTTAGATGCTCTGGAACTGAGGATTATTTTGATTTGAAGGCATACAGGATTTTTTTTTTCTTCAGTTTGATGTCAATGAGCCTTTGTGGGCTTTTGAATTGTTGTTTTTTTTTGCTCAGATTGTGTTTCTTCTATTAGAAGTCAGGTGCAGGAATCAGTGAGTCAACAACGGCCAAGAGGAGATGAGGCCATTGCCAGTCCAGCGCTCCCCAGTCTACTGGAAAACAATTTAATTAATGTGATTAAGGTGAGAAAACTCAAAGGGTTTTTTGGCTGTGTTTCTTTTCTTTTCTTTGTGTCTTCTCTTTTGGGAGGGAGGATAGGGTTTGCAATCTAGTCCTGAGCATGTGTTTGAGTAGATGCTATCCTGAGACTTCAGCTTCATATTCAGCAGGGTTTATTGCAGGCATTTTGCAAACTTCCGTTGCTTGTCTTCTGTTGGCTTCACTCACAACTGCAGAGTTTTTCTGCCTCCCTTTCACAGCTGTGGCACTTCATAGAAATTTTGGCTCCCTCACAGAGAAGAAACTATCCACTGATTTCAGTTTTCAGTATTACTGGAGTATTAGAAAATCTTCTGGCCATTCCTTCAATTAAAGGAGGATTGTGTTATGTACTAAAGAAAGCTCCTTCCTGCTCCAGTAGTGTCTGGGTAATATTGCTATTGCTCAAAAATGAGTTTCCAGCAGGTATTAAAATGAAAGGGTGGTGTTACTGGGAGATGGGGACATGTTAGTAGACAAGTGTTGCCAAAGCAGTAGATCATTTGAGGTACATTTTAATGTGAGTGTGGAAAACTTAAGTTCTCGTCATGCTTCAAAATAAGCTAAAATATTTCCATATTTTAATGCTTTGTATTTCTTTTCAAGTTTCTAGTTTTCTGTACATCAGTAATTCGTGATGGATATACTGACCAAGAAATATGGCTGCTGCTTATATTGCTATTTAAAATAAGCTTGGAGAAACAGTTAAAACCTTTTATGATAGATTTTCAGTGCCTTTTTTTCAAGCTTCTGATGAATATAAAAGACTGGGATACTAAGGTAACTTCATACATTTATTGTACTAGATTTGTGGATTTGTGAAACTGCAACTTCTGTTTTGAAGTTTTCTTTATTTTTTCTTTTTTGACATACAGAAAAGTATTGGCTGAAAATGTAATATAGAATTTTCAATAATAGTACATATAATATGAAAAATTCAAAGCTTTGTGTTTCTGTGAGATTTAGGAAGTGGGTGGCTATACTGAGAGGGTTTTTGTTGCATGACATTGAGTTGCCTGTCCTCTTCTACAAGTTTGTTTATCTTAAGATTATGTGTGCTAAAACAGCTGTATGTTTAAAAAGGCAGTCTGAAAGAATGAAGAAATTATTGCATATGCGGGTAAGCTGTCATTAAAAACATTCTGATCTCAACTACCCTACTTTAAATTGTATTTGGCAGACTCACCTGCTGGTGCAGCGCAGACGTTTTTTAATGCACGTCATCTCTTGTTAGATCGGTTCCTTTTATCACTTGTGCTGCCTGTGTTTCTAGGGAGTAGGTGTGTGCTCCTTTGCAAATACAGCGAACAGCCCTTCTTCAGTTTCAGGATGTTTTGTTGTTCTTTTGAAGATGTCTGAGCTGTGCCTGTCAGTGAGTGAGCTCTCCAGCAGCCCCCACAACCTCCTGTGGCTCGTTCAGCTCGTGCCCAGCTGCGTCGCGCGTGGACGGTAATGCCGCGGCCGTGGCAGCAGCACACGTCATCCACAGCTGCTTCCTTTGTGTCACCTCAAAGCCTGAACAATGACACCTAAAAAAAAAAGGGATTTGTTTGCTCATATGTTACAGATGCACCCTGGTGTGCACGTATAACTTCCTGATCACCTCTGCTGTGAAAAAGCGTTGTTAAGTCTTTTGTGTGGTTTCTGGGCTGTGGGTTCTTGGTACACTGTAGCACAGGAAGGCTTAGCTTCAGGTTCTGACATCCATCACTCTAATTCTTGTCTGAGTGATCAAACTTTAAATTTTCTTTGGGTGATTCATGTCTGCTTCTAAGCATTATTCTGAATTCTGTATCTTTGAAATTAGTAAATGATGTAACTGAGTGAGCAGAATTAGTTAAGTCATTAACTTCAGGCTTGGAGAGAAGTATCTAGCATTGTTTACTTGTGCAGAAGCTGAGATACAATGAGATTAAGTATACTTCTGTTTTACTAGCCTACTTACTGGTTTATATAGCACCTATATTCAGAAAATCCAGTTTAATGGTTGCAAGCAGGTTCATGTCTAAGGAAGACTTGCATAGCCTCACATACTTTGTAGAAACTGTGGATTAAAAAAATTCTAAGGGAAATAATTTTTTTTTGTTTTTCAGGGAAGTAAAGAGGCGCCTTAGCCTAGTGATAATTGCAAAATTTCTTCATAGAAAGCATGTAGAAATACCTGATGACAGTGACAAGCAGGTATGCTTACATGTGTTGTCTTTGTAGAATTTGGAAGTTCAGAAAATATAAGTATTGTATGCTTGTGTTTTTTGTTTTAATATTGTAAGCCTGTTCTCAAGAACGTTGCCAAATGACCAATTAATAATTTTCTGTTTAGATTACTGTTAAAAGTGTATTTGCACGTGTGTGTAATTTGCATATTCTGCAGCTTGTGCTTGTTTATATGCCTAAACATTAGTTTTAGACATTGGAAAGAGGTCTACACTTCTTTGAGTCTTCCTTTTGTAATCATGTGGAGACACACTGTTTTCATAGGTTTGATCTTTTATTGAGAAAGTGTACAAACACTGAAGTCTTTAATAGTCAAAAATTACTCAAAGCATGGAAACGTCCTTTTTAATTAAAAATCCCTTTCTGTTCTTTTTCTACTGGATAAGTAATACTGTAGTGGCACTCATTTTCCAATTTTCTGTTGTTAGTAAATCAGTCCAATTTGTTAATGCTTGTGTCTGTAGATGTTTCTTCTGCATCACTTTCTGGTGTGTATGAAACCTTCTTATCTACTGAAGAAGATGAGAGAGATGAGAAAAGAGCAGAACGAGCACAAAGATGATGAAGTTCATGCAGAACTGGAACATGAGGTATATAGGCAATAGTGCTTTTTTTCCTTTGTTTTTTATTCATCTTTTTATATTTTATATATAGTAGTATATATTTTATACAATTTGGGGAATGTTTCTTTTACTTTGTAACAGTTCTGTGTGTGGAACTGTAAATACAGTTTTGTTACTGTTCATCTTTAAAATATTATTAATTTTGGTTATAGTCATGGGGGAAGGAAAGGAACGTATCATGGAGGAACATGTACTGGTTGTTTTACAAACAGGGAAGTGGTCAGATTTTCTGAAGTCACAGGGAAGTCTTGAGTCTCTACTTCTGTAATCAGAAGACAATCTTCCCTCTCTTCTGATGTAATCAGAGAAAACTGTTTGGTGCTGAGCCAAACCTTCACCTTCAGGCTTCAGAAAAAGATTTGTGAATCTTCTATCAATATCTTCTCTCAAAGAAGTGCTAAAAAGATTTAGTATTTCCATCCATCCAAAAATTGAATATTTGAATTTGGTTATTTAAGGGGTTATCATGGAATCTCTCAGCAAGTGTTTTGATCTGGGGGTAGAAGATGGGAAGATAAAGCCAACTGCTGAATTTAATTTTCAGTTTGTAAAACCACAATTTTAAATAACTTCGGTTATTTAAACCAGTATAATACTGGTTTAAAATGTTTTTAATATGTGAGTATACTGTTTCAAATTAGTTATTTAGGCAGATTACGTGGATATACTTGTCCATAGGCCTGGCTGTTGGAGGATTCTTTCCAGAAAGCAGAGATGATTCCGTGTCTAGATGTGAAGAGTTTAAAAAATGGTGCTTTCACTGCTAAAGCTCTTTTGATTTCTCTCCAGGTATACTACCTAATCTATGTCCTCCTTCATCTAGTCAGTGAAGCCAGTTTCCTTGATGTTGTAAATTCTAGTCAAAGGGTAAGTAACTTTAGTAGCTAGACCCTTAGATTTTAAAATGTTGTTTATCATGCACATTTAATCTGTTTTGGTAAGAGCTATCGTGTGATGAAAGATCACCAGTGTGTAAGATCACTGGGGGAAGCTTTTGTTCTGGGCAGGGTAAATGCAGAAGAACTTCTGTGTGTTTACTGCAGAGAAAACTCTCTTCTGTGTTTCTGTGAATGGAGCTACCTCCAGAAATAAGGCTGTGAAAGAGCAGGCATTTGTTGTGTTAATCTTTCCCAGAAAGTATCTGGAGATAAACTTAACACAGAAATTCTAAGTCAAATGATTCTATCAACTTTGGAAGTCAATTTGAAGTTTTTCAATCCGGGAGAAAACCATTTCAAATATATCCAGTAAAATATTTTCAAGCACATTTCAGTTTCCTGTGCTGGAGTGCAGCAAGTTAAAGCAGGACTGTAGCTCTTCTCTGTAGTGGCAGTTCCTTTTTGCCATGTGATGTGAACCTCTTCTAAGTAATTCTGTCTGCTTAGCCTTTCAGTATTTCTGTTCAGATTTCTGTGATCATTTGCTGGGAGTTGCTTGCTGCAAGGTGTCTGTGTAAACCTTGTGCCCTGTGGAATCACTCTTGGCTTTTAAGAATCTGTCACAGGGACTGTTTGAGACACATAAGCCAGTAATGTTTGGCTACATTTGGATGCTTAGGTGTCTCAGTATGTTACTTAGATTTGTGGAGAACTTGGTATTTTCAATTGTTTTTTAATGTCTCAATTTCTTAAGGAAGAAATACTTTATTATTCACTGACCTGTTAGCCATCAAGTGGCAAGAGAGGTATGGCTGAATATTGTGCAGGCTAGACTTGTGCAAAATCCATCTTAATTATTTCATTTCTGCCCCTCTTCCAGTTAGAGAGAATAAATTGTGGTGGCCTTGGGAAACTAGCAAATGTTTATAAATAGGATTTCAGCATGTCTCACCTGTTCTGCAGAGAGGAGCCTCTTGGCAGCTGTTCAGTGAGAGACTGAAAACAGGAATTTTATGAAGAAATTAACAGAATGTGAAAGACCTTGGGAGTCATAATCAGGAGATCCTGAAGTGCAAAACTGCTTTATTAAAGTAATCAGAAATTTAGAGAAAATAAAAGATCAGCTCATAAAAAATTGGCTATATTTTACCTGCTCAGCCAATTCCTACAAAAGAAATTACCTGAGTCATCATTACTGAAAAGGTTATTTTCAGCTGTTGTAACTTGAGAATTTTTTTGCTGATAAAAGATGTGATTGGCACTGCACTGTGTTTGCTATTTTGGGGGACAGAAAGGATTAGCAAATTAGTTAGTAAGCACTTTAGAATTTGTGTTGTATAGCTCTGCTATACTTTGAAGCTGCTTTTATAAACTTAGACCTGCTTTACCAGGAGCATGTCAGCAACAGATAGAGGATCTTGTGATGTGATCTTGTTTTCTTTCTTTTCCTTAACTGTGTATTTCTGAGAAAAATTCATACTGAAGCATGTAATTTTTAAATTGATATAATATTTGAATAAAGCCTGTAGTTTTGACATGGAGGATTTAATAGCTGTACACTTTTGTCTTTATTTAGCAACACTTACTGAAGCTTTGTCGTGCCTTAGATAAGCACGTGAAAGGTGATATTAGGGAAGATGCAAGAATGTTTTATCGGTCTAAGGTAAGATGCAAAACTTGATTTTTCTGTTTTGTTTTGGTTTTGGGGTGGTTTTTAGTGTTTGTGATCCATGTTGTTCCCTCATCTCAGCCCTGGAAATTCTAGGAGTTCCTCATGGGCTTGGGGGTTTTTCCTGGTTTTTTTTTATCTGCATCATATCTTTGCATGGGAATAAATACATGCCCATTTTAATTCACTGAAAATACCCCTTATGCTAACAATGGGACTCTCAGCAGCTCTGAAATGTGGCTGATCATCCCTTTAGCCAGGCATCTCCACATTTAGGCCCACAGAGTTGCTCTGTTTCTCTTTGTGGCAGTCACTGGTAGCTGACTCCAGTTGTAAGAGCAGAGCCTACCTGCAGGGCAGGGTACAGGGGGCTGAAAAAGTTGCCTGTCTTGCACGAGTCTCCATTTTATTTTTCAAATGAATGAATTGATTAAAAATGCTTTGGATGTAAGCGAACTGTTTGTGTTGTAGCTCCAAGCTTGGACAGCTGCCTTTTGTTTGCTTTGTCTGTGAGCCTTACATTTGGTAGTCCTCATTTTGTGACCTTCATGCTTTGCATGCTACAGACCAAGTCAGCTCAGTGATAAAGTCACCAGCCCCAGCTTTGAAAAGCCGTGGCTTCTTCGGCTTTAAATCAGACATTTGCAATTGCATGTTTCCTTACCTCTCAAAAACATTCTTCTTTTCTTACTCAGACACATTAGTGGAGCATGGATCCTTTTAACAAGTTAATTGTTCTTGCCTTGGAGTGTTGTATCTCCGGTTGCTTTCACTTCTATTTCTATTTGCCTTTGCACTGAGAGGGGAAAATCTTACTCTGGTTTCTCCATTGCTTCATTTGTGTAATACTGCAGCAACTTCTAGAGGATGCCACTGTGCTGGGTGTCAACACAGCAGATGAAGCAAATCTCAGTGTGAATGGCTTGGATTAAACACCTGCTTGTGACTGGTTGTGAAAAAGCACGGTTTTATGTACAAGGAATTTGTTTCAGAAGCAGCCGGTGCTGCATTGCTGGCTTTTGTGGCCACAGTTGCCCCTGTTCTAGGTACAATCAGCCTTGTGACAAACCCATTTCCCAGGGATGAGGTGGTGTTTGGAGGGCAGAGGTTTGCATGGTGATTCCAAGCATTCAGCCTGAGGAGTCATGTGCCTCCAATGTTTGTGGAGTGCATGACTTTCAGTTCAGAGTGATGAGTTACAGGGATCTGAAGTGGAGGTGATGATACTTCGTGACAATTAAATTGTTCCTTTCCAGTAAAGCTTGTATGCTGAGTTATCTGTTTATTTTTGAGTTTGAAGCTGGGAGGGGGAACACAGAGGTATGATTTTTGTCTTTTTTAACAAAAACGGCTAAATTAATCAGTGTGAATTTGCAGGTAAAAGGCTTGGCTGCTAGGATATATGGGAAATGGCAGGATGTGATACAAACCACTCGGCTTACTCAGGTACTGTAATGAAACTTCTCTTCCCTCATTGCAGGGTGCATTTAACTGAGTTTTTAGCACTTGAAAATGGCAAATCTTTTCAAGAGATTTTCTTTTTCTATATAAATGGCATGGCTGTGGAATACACTTAGATGTATTAGAATGGATTTTAATTGGAATGCTTGCTTTGCTGGCTTCAATAAAAGCAGGACCTCCTCTCCATTGTTAAAAGCTGTTTCTGTAAAGGTGTGTGTAATACACTGAAATCCCAGTCCTGAGTAGAGTCACAGGGCCTGTCTCTGATTACAGCTATTAGCAGATGCTTCCAAAAGGAAATTGGGGCAGGAATGCAGTGAGGCACATCCTGCTGGGGTCTGGCACCGTGTAGCTTTGAGACTTCTTGAGTCCAGGGCTTTATTCACATATGTTTAAGGGTTCTCAACAACTTCTCCCCCTTTGAATGTGACAAATTTCATGCCACGATTAGGCAAAGCCCCTCATGTTTGTAAAAGTATGAAGTAGTAAATAGTGCCATGATAAGTCTCAGAAATATTTGCCTTTGTGGCACTTAGCTGGCCTTGGTAGAATAGGTGGATAATTTCTGCTGATACTCAAAGTTCAGAGCTCTTTCTTCCAGCCTTGGCTTGTAAGGTTTCTGTTGTAATGTGATCAGGCCACCTGTGTTATTCCTGTCTGGGAACATAAAGCTATCTCTCCTGGAAAAGCTTAGCTTTCCAGTAATGTAGAATATAATTCATATAAAATTTAAACCATACATTATGCTTAGTACTGATTCCAGTTAAAAACTGTGTAATTAACCATTTGTAAAGACTATTAATTGCTCCCAACAATGTGCAAAAAAAAGTTCAGTGCAGTGTGTGTGATATTTCGAGTTCTAGAACGAGGAGTGACACGCGGCTACAGAATCTGCTTAGCAATTAATGGAAGTTGATAACGAGGTGGCTCTTTCAGTATTTTTTTTTTTTTGGGTGTTTGGGGTTGATTCACATATGGGAAACTGACAAGTGTTTCAGAATAAAATTCCAGGAACTTTTTCCAGCACATTGTGGTGCTCCCAAGCTAAGCACTTGCCTACTGTACTAATTTCTTCTGACACTGGATTTCTGACTTGTATACTAATTTGTTTTTACCCTTTAGGGAAAACTGCATGACTTCTGGGAGCCAGATTCATGAAATCTTCACTAGTTAAGGGAAAATAGCAGAAACTGAAATCAAGGAGGATGTAGAATGAATGGAGCTTCACCTTGTTTGGAACAGAAGAAATCAGTCACCTGAGTTAGAACTTGAACTTGATTCAGACAAGTTCTAGACACATGAGAATCTGATTTGACTAACATTGTTTTTACTACAAGTGCTCTACTTCTGAGAAATTGAAGTGGATCAACTGAAAAAAACCCCAGCCATTCCTACAGCCCTATCAGAACTGGCTAGAAATATTTTACTGTATTGAATGCTGAGGGGAGTTTTCTTGTTTCCCTTGTTAATCACAAGACCTGTTTGATAACAGTAAGTATTTATTTTCTTGCCAGCACATACCTGCAAGCATTGTTTTAGGTTGGCTGGGCACGAACTACCCTGTGACATGAAATGTGAGTTCAGGAGGAGTGTTAGACCTCCCCTGTTGTGAGCAGGTGAGGAAGTGGTTCAGATGTGGGCTGAATCATGGTAATCTGCAAAGCAGAATTGGTATGAACATCCAGTATCTCTTAAAAATACAAAACACAGCAGTTGAACCTTCTTTAAATGGAGAATAAAATATCATCTCAGTGGAGATTAGAGAACACCATTTGGCTCACCTTTGTAAAGACTGTGAAAGCCATATGATGGCTGAATTCCTTGGTGTGAAGTCCTGCTGCACAGACAATATGTGCTCAAAGCTCCAGGAGCTGTTTATGAAATAATCAGAGGAAGGTGTGATCTCCTTTTGTGATCTCTGTACAAATGCTACACTTAAATCATACACTGTGGTTTGTCTGTAGAATGGATGTAATAGGAAGAAAAAGTTCAGTTATTGGGTAGAAGCACCAATGGGGATTCCCATAATAAGAGAGATTTTTAATAACATCAACATGTGTATTTTATAATACTGTTTTGTTTTAATTCTTGTAGATTACCCTGTCTTGTATGAAATTCTCTATGATAAGAATGTAAAATAAGGCTTAAAAACCTGCCAACTACAAAACCTTCAAATTTAATTATGTGTAGTACATATAAAAGAACTGCTATAGAATGGACACATCTAAGAGGAAATCTATTAGATTTGCAAATTCATACTAAATGTTTTTTCTTTCAAGTGTTACATTGTTATGTCAATGTCATCTTCTGCTCTTTGATAGCTCATCTGCCTTCCCTCTCTAACAGTTGCTTACTTTGTTGGATATATTGTATGTAATTTTATTAATGTTTTTATTTTTTTCACTAATATTGTATAAAGGTAAAAAATGTGGAATGTTTACTGTATTTAATGTGTACATATTTTCTTACTGTGTAAAGTTGACATTGCTGGCCTGTATATTTTGAAGAAAAGGGGAGGAGTTTAGATGAACAGCTTTTGTACTGCAGTTCAAAGCATGTTGAAACTGCTGAGGGTTTTTCCACACAAAATAGCCATTTTGATACTTTCTTTCATTTAACAGAACAATGAAAAAATAAAACCAGACACTCCTTTCTAGTTAAATACCCCTGGACAAAATGGGCTCTGTTTCACAAAAAACAAATGACCACAGGTCCTATTTTATTCTTATGGCACATGTTACAATTCTTGGGTTCACAGGTGATTAGCTCACTATAGATGGAGACAGTCCTGAAATCATTCTCAGCTCAGCCAGGCCTGTGTTTTCATGCTTAATGCCTGTTCCAGCACTTTGCCTCTTCCCCCACTCCTGCTTGGTCTGGACTTCTCTTCCATCTGGTTTGTAGCTGAGGAGTAATTCCTCAAGAGGTGAAGTCTAGGTGTGGGTTAAATTGGTGCTCATCAGAATCCTTACAGAGATGATTCCCAAGCATCACTACAGGGTCTTTACAAGAGGGTCCTGGCAGTGAAATAGCAAACCTGCTGCCCTTGTCTTTTGCCAACTCATTTGCTGTCCCTCAGCCAGGACTTACGTGCACTGGAAAAGGCTGTTCCCTTTTCCTGCAAAAGGTTGTTGCACACTAAAGGTCTTAACTGCTTTGGATGTCTTCAGAGAAGCATTTTTGCACTTGAGGTCTATCTTTTGATACTGTGTTGGCTATATTAAGAGCCACATTATCACATTTCATGTGGAAGTAGGTGCACTTTATTGCAGTAATAACAGAAAAAAATTAAAGTCTGGTTGTAAAATACAATTTTGTAGCTCCTTGCCTTTTTTTTTTATTTTTTATTTTCTGACAAGCCTCTCTCTGGCTTAAAATAACACAAGCATTCTGGTTTTAAAGTTGAAGAAACCTGGCAGTGAAACTATTTGTGCATCTTATATTCTCACTGTTCCTGTTATGGAACTTGGTAATGGATGGGGATTTCAGAAGTGATTAATGATGTGCAGGTAGGTCTGGCTGAAGGTCAGTAGGACATTTCATTGATGCAGCAGCTGCAGGAACTCTCTGAAGTCCCCAAGATAATGACTTAGTTGAGAATGTCTTTGGGAAAAGGAGGTGACTGGAATACCTGAAGTGTGTTGTTATTGGTGGAGGATTTGATTAGATGGCTGCAAAGGCATTTTAGAGGTAGGATTTCAGTGTGGAAAAGGACTTAATACTGAGGGTTGATTTACATATGGGAAACTGGCAAGTGTTTCAGAATACAATTGCTGTGCTGCTTTTCTGAGCACAGAAAGCCAGGTCTGTGTCCCTGAGAGGTGTCTGTGCTCAGCACTGTCCAGCACCCGTCCTGGGGGCCAACATTTGGGCACAGGGGCTGCAACAGACTGTGCTGCTGTGGAGAGTCAGGCAAGTGCTGCCAGGGAGCCGGGTTCCTCTGCTCATCCTGTCACTAGCAGGATACTGGAGCTCCAGTACTAATGCTGGTCTTCTGTTTGTTTTCTTTCCCAGGAGAACTGTGTGTATAGCACAGTATCCCTGGCTTGGGGTTTCTGTTTTGGTGTATTGTTGGTTTGTCTTCCACTGGTTTGTGGTGGTTGTGACTTTTGTTTTACTGAGAAGGGCAAATCAGAAAGGTTTCTGCTGGAGGTTACCCTCCTAATTTTTCTGGAGTCCTATTCCTTGGGTTTGTGAGCTTTTGGAAAACTGCTTCTTGCCTAAAGTTTCCCAGTGGGAAACACTGCCCTCTGCCAGAGGGGCAGCTGTTTCTACTGGCATATTAGTGCTTCTTTTTGCGTTCAGAAAGAGAGACAAGGGTCTTAGGACCGGCTGACTTTGAGCAGGGAAGAGGTTTGATGAGCTTGTAGGAGCCTAAGCAGCTGCTAAGGAGCTCCAAAGGAGCTGCCCAGAGAGGTCAGACAATCATTAGTGGATTTAGCTTATTCCTTGTGGTTTAACTTATCAGAATTCCTTTAATTGCCGTTTTCCCCATATTCCCCCCAGGCTGTGAAATACCTTCATGTTTTGGCTTGTGGATATTTTGCCAGCTTTACTGGCAGGGCCCCTTCTTATCACGTGTTGAAAAGGGCTTTCAGTGCTGGGGAATGGCGTGGGCTGCTGGTGGGAAGGATCCTAGGAAAAGTGAATTCCTCGAAGCGCTTCTCTTTGCAGAGAGGCTTTTAGTTTTGCCTGACTGACGTTTTTTTCAGCCAGTGCTTCCTCGCCTTTGCAGTCAGGAATTTGAAAGGGAGTATTTTATCTGGTATCAAAAGCAAGGCTGGGTGGTGAGCGAAGAAAAACATTTGCGTCTTCCATCTTGGTATTTTGATCCGTTTGGAGAAAGCCAGTCCTATGCTTTAAGGCTGCTTTTAAGTGGCATTTGGATATGTTGTACTTTTTTGAATGCCTCCCTTGTCTCTGCGTGGTGAGATGCTGCTAATGCTTCACCTCCTTCAGCTTTCCTGCCACCTCTCAGTTCCCTGTAGGGAGGTCACAGGGGAGGGGATGGAAACTCCACTGGAATTGTTCCCTTCATTGTCATCAAAGCGCCTTTGCCGTCAGCCTGGGGGGAAATCTGAAGCTTTTCAAGGCAGGTTTGTCCCGCACGGTGTGTAGGGGTGGATAAAGGGGCCATTTTCACACACCCTTGTCCCAGTGCTTCCCTTTGGGTTTGCATTGGCGGCTGAAGCTGCCTGAAGCCTAGTGAGCGATGCTCCTTCCCTCTCGCAGAGGAGCAGAAAGGGTAAATGGATTTGTGCTGCTTTTGTGCTACAAAAGGGGCGAGTCCTTCACCCGAGCAGCGAGCGCTCTGAGCTGGGGCTGGGCACGCAGGCTCCGGGGCTTTGCCTCTGGATTTCAGGCTCTCCCAGGCTTGGTGAAACGCCTGGCTCTCGGAGCAGATGCAGGAGCAGAGGGTTCTCTTCCTCTCCGGACTGACCGCCAGGCTGCAGCTGAAATAAAAACAATAGCTTCAAGCTGCCAGGGGCAGTGGTGGGGAGAGGGGGGCAAGGCATTCAGTTTCATGCTTTATTCACACTGCAGGCTTTTATAAATGCAGCGTAAATCATGCAGAGCAGCCGTGGGCTCCGCAGACAGCATCGCTCAGGCTCTCAGACACATTGATCTGCATGCTGGAAACTGAGCGTGTCCCCTTTGCCCTACCCAGGCTGTGGGGAGAGGCCTGCCAGGTGAGGATGCTGAGCTGCTGCACTGCATATCAGCTCTCCTTCACCTTTGTGAAGCGCTGCCTGCCTCCCCTGTGTACTAACCTATTTTTTCCCCCCGGAATTTTGTGCTCCAGCATTGTTATGGTGAGGTTTGCACAATGCAACGTGTTTTTCCCTCCAGTTGATTTTCTCTGATTAGCCCATTTTTCCTCTTGCCCTCATTCTGTTTTTTCCCGCAGTATGCGAACGCCGTTTGCTGAGAAACTGTGTCAGCCTTCCTCTAATTAAGAGTCTGGCAGGAGCCAGCGCAACAGTAATTTTGGAGATGACGCTTCCAGTTTGGAGCTGACAGTGAGCTGAGGTGCTGCGGCAGGGGCTCGTGCTGGGGATGCTGGAATGTTCTCCGGCTGAGCAGGACAGGGGGACCCACAAGGAGCCTGGTGCAGGAGCAGTGAGTACCATGGGTGTTTGGGTGTTTAAACCGTGTCCTCTTGAAAAGCAGCTGCAGGAATGGTTAAATCCGTGGTTATGTCACAGGTTTAGCCCTTTGTGAGGGAGTCTCTGTGTGTGTGTAAAGGACAGGAATAAATTGTAGTGGCCCTAAGTCGGCTGCATTTCTCTGAAATAGTTGTAATGTTGGAAAGTAAGATGGAGAGCTCAACAATCAAATGGCCTGAAAAAGGGCAAATAAGGAGAAGCCATTCAATGGTGCTCCGTGATACGGCTTCAGACTCCATAGTTCTTTTATTAGCAGGAAAGCTCAAAGCAAAGAAAAGGAGACAGGAGCTGGGGATCTGCTTGCCTCAGGATGTTGTGGATGCTAAAAGCTTAGAGGTTCAAAGAGCATTTTATGGCAGAAAAATGCAGTGTGGGTCTGTGAAATGAAAGCAGTTCTCCCTGGCTGAGAAAGCTTCAGGCTGCTGATCCCTGGAGGGTGGAGCATGTGCTGGGGAGATATCCCAGATGTCTGTCCTGTTCCTTCACCCCCTGCAAGGTGCTAGGATTTGGTCCAGTGTGGGGTTAATGCCTGTATGCTTTAGGTGAACAGCTGAGGGATTTCGTGTCATCTCTCAGTTTCCAAACAGTCCATCATGTCCACCATTCCATCTCTCCATCCACTCCTGAGACAGAAGTTGCTGTTGAAGGTGGTGCCAGCCCTTGCTCTGAAGGAGCCCAGTGAGGTGTATGGGGTCAAATGTTTATTTGGCTGAAGAAAACTCAGAGACATTTTTTGATCTTTCTAATGACCCTGTGAGTGAGACTAGGAAAACGAGTTGTGTGGTTCAGGGACTCCAGCAGAACACAGCCAACCACATGCCAGAGTTGACCTCCTTCCTCTCTCCTCCCACCCCATCCATAGACGTTTGCAGCTATGGAGAAGTACAAATAAGAGCAGATGAGGAGATTTTTTAAAAAAAATATCCTTCCTATGTGGTACCTCTAGAGCACAATTCAGCATTTTCCCTCTCTACTTGCTGTGTCAGATTTGCCTCTTGGGGGCAACCTCACCCCACTCCGGCTGAGACCAAAGGGCGTTCAAGTGCTTGGGGGCGATGACTCACTGCGCATCCCTCTCTGCCTTTGCGTTATCTGATCGTTTTTAGTAATCGAGGTCATAATTTGCTGAAAGGATTTTAGGATTTAAGCCGTCAAGGCTGACTGTTAGTGGCTTCTCAAAAATGATGTGATTGGCTCTTGAAGGTCCCTTTCCAGGCTTGGAGTCCTTCAAAGTTTTTTCCTGCTTTGGTGTCCTTCAGAGAGAGGAGGGTAGTATGGAAGGACATGTGTTTTGTGGTTCTGGTTTAATGGGTAGAGCATAAATCTCTTCGAGGAAGATTTACAGTGTGCTCCTGGCTCTTTTGCCTGGGTTGGCTTGGACTGTCACTAAGCCTATCCGATAGTGCTGAGGACACTCTGACTTGTCAGGAGGGAGAGCAAAATTACTGCTCCAGCTCCATTTCAGCTCTGAGTCCCAGAGCAGGCGTCTTGTACAAACTTCGTCCACAAAAAACCATTTGCATTTATTTAAAGGGCGTTGAGGTATATGATGGAATAAAGGAAGTATTATTCATGCTTCGTGCTGTGGTTCCTAATAGTACTTTACACGCTGATATGACCTACAAAGCTTGTTGTTTTGTGCCTGCAGTGCTCTGATGTTCTTCCTACCTTGAGGGTCAGAAATGACAAGAATAAATGATCATGATGAGCGTCTTGCAAATCCCTGCTCCCTCTCCTTGGAAATGTCCTTGCCAGGGCACAGCTCAGTGACCTTGCTGGCACAGGCAGCAGCGGGGCAGCATCCTTGTCCAGCCCACAGGACTGAACAGAGTGACCTTCCTGTAGATGTGAGGGCAAATCCATTTATCCATAGGTGTGTTTCACCTTCTCCCCGAAGCACAGGGATGCAGCTTGGGCTGGGCAGGGGGCTTGGCCCAAGCTGAACACACACAGGGCCCCTCCTCTGGAAAATACCAGGGAGGAGGTGGGAGCAAGTGAGGTTAACCATGGACCCCAAAGCATAGGGACTACTCCAAAGGGGGGTGCAGGGCCTGCAGCCTGTGAGTGCCCAGTGAGGGACTGAGTCAGCCTTGCTGGGGCAGCAGCTCCTGGCTCCAGCCAGCCTGGGCACT